AAGTGAAACAATCAGAAATTTGGGAGAAAGCGTCCACGTAATGACAGAGCTCCTGATTTTAAGGGAAAGTAAATGATTGCTTGAGAGCAGTTGCCAGGAGTCAACACTGACTCAAAGGCAGAGAGAGAGAGAGAGGGAGGGAGGGAGGGAGGAAGGGAGGGAGGGGGGGAGAGAGAGAGAGAGAGAGAGAGAGAGAGAGAGAGATTACTGAAACACCTTGAACTTCAAAAAACAGCTTATAATAAACTAAAAACATTGATAATAAGACTCCACCTCAGGAGAAGATAGTGGGGGAAGTGGCTCAAGAAAGGTATGATTTTCTAAAAAAACAGATATTAAAAGTACAATCACAAATAATTCTGACAACAATTTAAAGAATGAAGTCAAAAGGAGGAGGTCAGGATGAGTTGAGGTTAGTGAAGGATGCTAAAAAGAACAATAATATTTTAGATATATTCAATATAACAGAAAATGAAATAATATACCAGCCACTTGGTAAAGATGGCTGAAGGGTAACATATAAAACAAAAAGTAGAGATGCTTAACTCCTATTTTGGTTGTCCTCTAAGATAAGGATATGTAACATGAGCATTTGAGAAGAGAAAGTTAAAGAAGTAATATTTTAGTCTGAGCTTGAAAGAAATAGAGAATGCCTACTGACTTGGAAAGAATTCAAATCTTCCAGACCTGATGAATTGTATGCTAATGCTCCGAAGAAAGTGGCTGATGGTTTAGCACAATGTTTATTAATTATCTTTGAGAAATCCTAGGAAACAGGTGAAAAATAAGATGTCTGGAGTAGATAAACAGTCTCTACAAAAAGATAGAAAAGAGTGATTTGACAAATTGCAGGCCAATCAATTTGATACTGATAATTGGAAAAACTTGAGAGCAGATCACAAAATCACCTCTAAGTACCTTAAGTCAGCACAAATTTATGAAAAGCAAGTCTTACCAGTCCTATCTATCTATCTATCTGTCTGTCTGTCTGTCTGTCTGTCTGTCTGTCTGTCTGTCTATCTTTCTCTTTCTCTTTCTCTTTCCTTCCTTCCTTCCTTTTTAAATCAGGTGAACTTCCCAAACAGGCTACAACTATGCTGTAGATGTATTCTCTCAGTTTAAGCATAAGGATATTCCATGATGAATACAGTGTAATTAATTAGGAGGGGGGAATTTTAGACTGCATCAACAGACATAATTTCTAAATGACAGGACATAATTATTATACTCTATTCTGCTTTGTCAGACCTCACCTTCAATTCTCTGTCCTGTTCTGGGAACTACAGTATATCTTAAGAAGAATTCAAATTTTATATGTATCTTTTGTTGTCTCAAAGATGCATGCCTCAGCCTTAATGTGTTACGTTGAATATATGCAAATATTAACTTTGTAATGAACAGGAATGGAAAATGTACTTCATACATTTTATCCACGAGTAAAAAACTGTTTAGAAGAAAGCATGTCAGTGAACAGAAACTCAACAGGCCTGCATTTGGACCCATTAAAAAAAAAAAAAAAACGGAGCTGTGCTTAAGCGTCTAGTTGCTAAGGAACCTACTTCATACATTCAAAAGAGAGTTGTAAAAGTTGAACATTCATCCTGATGCTTCTTGTCTCACTGAAAAAACATCTGATTTTTTTTTTTAAAGCAGGCTTCAGAAATAAAAACAAAAACCTGTGCCCTTTGAGCTGTTTCTTTTGACATTTTTACCTTTAAACTCTTAGTCGTGTTTACATTCTGCACCATGAGCAGTGATTCATTCTCCTTCAAATGCCATTAGATGAGGACCTAAACATATTTCTTCATTTCCAGGCATATTTATTTATTTTTCTCTAAGTAGAACAAACATATTTTTTCAATTGAAGCAAATAAATTCTGGCAAATCTCCAGTGACTTTAAAATGCACAATTTTCAGCTTAAACAAATTGAGGAATCTCAGTTGAAATGAACATATGTTACAGAAGTTTCATTTCATTGTGCTGTGCCATTATGCAGTGTTGGTTAAGCATGAGGTGTAATTCATACAGTATGATTTGTAAATCATAATTGATTTCTCAGTTTTATGTGTAAATCAAGCTACTGGGATTTGTTCAACTAATTATGGTTAAAACAAATCTGACCTATGAACCTAACCTATGTTATACCACCCGCTTGTTGTCAAACCTATGACCCTTGTTAATATTAATTAACTATGGAACAAGGAGATAACCATGAAGAGAGAATGTACATGGTATGAATTCTATTATAATTACATGGTGCAGTGATCAAACATTCATATGTATGAACAGGCATGCTTTGGCAAACTTCGGTCTTAACACTCAGTGAAGCTAAGTATCATGATGGATGCATATAGAATGAATCATATAACTTGTTGCACAATGAAGAATATAATGGTGTCCAATTTATTTTCACATCCTTTTTAATAAATGGATTAGTTTTTTAAGGTCCCACAAGACTCTTCATTGTTTTTACTGCAAAAGACTAACATGGCCACCCACAATGCAAATCAGTGTAACATGTATAAAAAACGTACTCCTCCTTCTCCACATCTGAGCAGCCTCTTTTCCCCCTTTCTTCAATGACTTAAAGAAATGTAAAACAAGTTGTATGAGGTAACTAATATACGCTTGCACTCCCGTGTAATTGTGCAATTGTGCAATATGATGTACGGGAGGAAAATGTACTCTTTACTGGACCAGTTTGCCACATTTACTTTCATTCAACACAAAGTACACATCAATTTTTGTTTTTCTTTTTAAAAGATCATCCTTAGAGTAGTTATGCTGCTTTTCGTTGTAGCCATATGGATAGTTGTCACCTTCTTGGTTCATGAAAATGGCTGAATCCATACATCTTACTAAATAATGTTTACTTAACCAGGATTTGTAGAAAAATTAGCTGAGGCCGCATAATGCAACAAAACAAAAACACCAAACCACCATATTATGGATTAGTGCAAGATGTGAAACAGGTAATCGAGAGAGCAAAGTAGGTAAAATTGTTACCTAATTTTAGAGATTATTTTTGTCAACGGAATTTAACTGTGCGTGAAATTGTGTTTTTAAACTGGAGTTAAACATGCAAAACATGGGAGCAATTTCCTGTCCTGAAACTTTCTGTTCAAAAGGTTTTTTTAATATTTACTTTGAGAACATATAGCACAAGTGCAGCACGACTGGAACATCATAATATTTCAAGTATTTAGAGTAACAGAAAAAATACACAGCCTGGGTATTTTTTCCTTACTCCCTCAACCAGAGTAACTCATTCCACAAACTATCCCAAGCCCTTATTTTTCTGGCACTCTCCAGTGATGTAGCAGAGGAAGAGAACTAATGGAAAGTTATGTGTTTTTCTGAATCAAAAAAGGAAAAGTGGAAGAACACTCCAAACAAGATATTTGGAGCAAAAACTCAGACTCTTTTTTTTAAAAAAAATAAGGAGGTTCTATTACACAGACAGTGCCACATGCTCCACCAGAGCCCTGCCCTTGAACTGGTTCAGCCAATCCTTCCAAAATAACATTCAGAACTCATCCCAAAAGTGGCAGGGATAAGACTTGGCAGGCTGGGAGACCGGTTTCTATCTTGTGGATAATGAGGCACTTCAACCCCACCCTTCACCTAACCTGATGCACTACTTCTCTGCGGCTGTGTTTACATGTGGTTTGAATTTATGTTCTCCTCTCCTGAGCCACACATGTTGTGCCTCACCAATTTTATTGCTACTTTTTCTCCATGCTGAAAATGCCATGTTAAATCACCAGCAGCTAAGTAAGGAAGTTGTGAGCTTCCTAAGACTATACTGCACAATTTGTTCCCACTTAATCAACAGATACAAATCTGGATCTGATCCAAAGAGTTCAGAATCCTTTTGCTTGCTTATATCCCATTTATACAATAAACTTTAAAGCACTTAAGGGGGGGAAAAAGAATAGTAATGCAATTTGATGGATTACTGATTTTTCTATTCATATCTTATTATTTCGTTGGGCTCATTTTTAAAATACTTCAACAACCTTCTGCAATGGTTTCTGGCAATATACCTGGTTAAGTTAGATCCTTAAGAGAAACTTAGTGTATCTTTCTTGAGTGCCAACTTTAAAATGGAAAACATTCTATGGCTTACAGAACTTTTCCAGAACTTGAATCAGCAGAACCACTTACAATAAGATTCCACTAACAGAGAATAGTTCTGTAGAATATCTTATCAGGTTCCAGGTGGAATAAAAACACAAATGCTAGGTGAACCCACTGAAAGATAGGTGCAGCACATAGAGAACAGGGTTTTGTGTAATTATTTCCAGGTATGAGGCATGGCTGTTCTATGCCAGAGTCAAAGATCAATTTCCAGCTTACTTAGTGGATTCTGAATAAACCTAACAGGACACTAATTTATCTGATGATTATAAAAAGCCAAGTTAAGGATACCTGCTCAGAAAACATGTAGTTGGAGACTGCATCCATAAGCCACTGTTCAGTCTCCTGATTCCTACAGTGGCATCTGCAGCATCACATCACAAATGCACAGCTTTTGTCACAACACACATGCAAAAGAAATGTGGCTTGCAGCACCAGTTCTGATGCTGTGGTCATTTGCCCAACCTCCTAGTCCCCTGTTGATGCTTCTGCACTCAGATGGCAAGGAAGCTCATAAACAAGGTACCTGTTGATAGCACCTTCCCTCTCCTTCAAATTGCCAGCATATAGGAAGAATAACTGCTGGATCTTCCAGCAGCGATTAAATGACATTTAAATTTCATTTTGGTTTTCATTATTATTCCACTAGAGCAGTATATGTAAAGTGCTAGCATGAACAGAAACAGAAGTTAAACAAAAATCTCAAATACAGCAGCAACCCAGCACTGACTTCATGAAGCTAAAGAGAGAGCCGCATGGAAAATCATCTGGCACACCTGCTATGAAATAGGGAAATGGTACTGAAAATGGAAGTCAGCATTCATGGACTCCCTCACCTATGGCCTCTTCCCTAACCTACCTCACGGGTGAAAAGAACAGCAGCATCATAGTGCTCCTCATGATCATCATCCAACTGATTGTGCTGGTGCTGCCACTTGCAGAAGTTTTTGAGTGTGGTAGCTGCATTCTTGGTGATCTCTAAGCCCTTCTCCTTGTCCCCCAGCACCACCACCTTCACAACCACCAGGCGGATGTGATTCTCAATGCTGGCATGTCCATAGAGCCGGGAAGCAATGGTAGCCAAGGTCAGCAAGTAGTGATGGAGGCCTTTGCCATACTTTTTGGTCATGGAGTCATCAGCCACCAGGAGAAGTTCCACCTGCCTGGCTCTAGAGATAGAGCGTTTCCTTCTCTTCCTGTAGTCCACAGGAGGGACAAGGGCGACAGGGGAATGTGCCATCCTGGTGGTCAGATCTATCTCCAGGTTCCCCTCCTGCCCTTGAGTCAGTCTCTTTCGATCCAAAAGTGGGGCCATGGAGTAACTGTGAGTCTCACAGGTGGGGCGGGAAGGCAACGTTTCAAAGCTGAAATGATCCCTGAAGAAGATATGGAGTATCTGGGCAGACACATCCCCATAGATCTGCTCCCTGGAGGCCTCTTCCTCTTCGGTCACAGCTTTCCCCCGGAGCAAAGGCTTCACTGTGTAGCGGGCATGCTTGACCGCAAAATAGCCATCTAAGCCACCACAGAGATTGAAAACTGCCAGAGACTGGGCACTCCCATCCACTGTGCCCCGATAGTAGCAGTGTCCCTTGCCCTGGAGAAGCTGCTCCGTGGTTCCAAGCAGCGCGTCCTTCTCCAGATCTAAAAGGAAGCGCTTCCCCTCCAGGTAGAGGATGTAGCCCACCTTGCCTCCTCCAGAGTAGGTCTGATCTATGCCCTCCACTACCCCGCTGGGTCGCTGCCGGAGAAAGGGTTGGACAATCCCAGTCGTCCCTGGTGCTGGCGCTGCTGGCGCGGCTGGCGCGGCTGCCGCCGCTGCCGCTTCGGATTGCTGCAAAGCTTTATCATAGGCAGGTGCTGAAGTTGCTGGGGAAACTCTGGCGGTGGTGGCAGCTTGTAAGCTTGCAGCCAGCGGCAGCAGCAGCGAGCAAACAATCTTCAGTTGCATGGTGGTGAGCTCCGTGGCCGGTGATTCGACGGTCGGGCAGGGGACGGGGGAGCGGATGCGAGGACCGAACGTTTGCAAAGGCGGCGGCGGCGGCGGCGGCGGCGGCGGCGGCAATTGCTTCGGTTCTTCTCACGGGCTTTGGGGAGAGAGACGCCGCGTTTCCCGCCGCCAGCAGGCACGAGAGAACTTGAAAGACTTCACACTTCGCTCTCGCAGCCAACGAGTCATCCGACTGAGAAAGCCAGCGGCAATTCCAGCCAGTCCGACAGGAGGAACCCCTTGATTCCTTTCTCCTCTTTTATATTTGCTATTATCCTTCTGTCGTTTGGCGGAAGGAAGGGGAGCGAGCGAGCGAGCGAGCGCAGGAGCGGGCGGGCAGAAAACAAGCCTTCGCTTGCCGGTAATGGAGCGGGGCGGTGGGGGGGTGGGGGTGGAGAGATGTCCCAGGTTAAGCGGCAAGCCTCTTCTCTGAGTTACGGGTGACGGTGGCAGTCAGCCCCAGTCTGCCGATGCGAGCCAGAAGAACCCGGCGAGCGCTGTGAAGATGAGAGGAGGTGGAACAATGCATTTATAGCGGAATGCCATCCTGCAATGGCAATTTCAATAATTCGTCATTGCGGGCTGCCTCTTAAAGGGAGAGCTTCGAAACATCCCCTCCCACACTCCCTTCGGAAGGGGGTGGGGTGAGGGT